CATAGGCTCCTCCATCTCAGTAGCAAGGTAGAGTCTCAGAGATTGCACAAAGCCACCTGGATAGAACTGGTCATCAGTGACAGTCCACAAAGAGTAAAGGGTAAAGATCCCCACAGAGAGTAAAGGTTAGCCACCATATCTAAGGGAGAAAATCAGATATCAAGATCAAACCCCACCCCCAAAAGAATGGCAATGCAGGCAGAGCTCTGGATGGAAGGAATGTGCAAAGCATGTATCAATAAGATTCACATGATAATGTCTTGCACAAGACATGTTTGCTCTATGGAGTTAAATTTCATAAAATGGAAATACTAATCTCTACCTGTCTCATGACATTGTAAAAAATCAAACGAAATACTTCAAAGTGAGCACAACTTGTAAATTTGTGTGCAAGTACAAGAGATCAGTACATATTACTATTTCACACCATTCCCCCCAGCAGTGCATGAGGGGTATTAAGAGATTGAGGACCTGACTGGGAATAACCTCTTGAATATGTACACTATGACTGTGATTTTCTGCCTTAACTGGGCTCTGATTTCCTTGAAAGCAGAGACCAGACAGACCGTGTCTTAGTCATCACTGCATCTCCATTTACATAGTAAGACATTCAATCACTGTTTAGGAATGTTGAATAAATACATCCTGAATCTTCACTATTATTCAGACTCCCAGCTGGCTGTGAGTTATGTGCAGGGAAATACTATGTGGCATAATGTGAGAAATGGAATAGCAAATGCCTGTGTGCCCAGGAATAAGATTCCCATCTGCCAAAAAATTATCTACTACCCCACTGTCAGAGCACTGGCTATGCTAGATAAGGAAGACAAACACTGAAAATTAGAAGCATTCCTTGAAGTTGGTCAAAAGGGAGGTACTGACAATTAAATATGTTGGAAAGTACTAACAGGTGAACTTCTCTGTGTCCTTCTTACATACCAGGTACCGCACTACAAGCATCACTCACATTCTTAGCACGTTTAAATCTCACAACTATACTCTGCAGGAGGTTTTGTTATCATCCATACTTTACAGATGAATAAATTGAGTGTTGAGAGATTGGGTGAGTAACCAGGCTGTGTGTGGCAGAGCCAGACTAGAGCTATAGATCTAATGCATTGCACACCCTACATTCTTAAGCAATACCACACGCAGCTTTCTTTATCCTTAGTGAGAATGGGATGGCCTCATCTTGGTCATCTCAAAGCTAAGCAAAAAAGGACAACTTCTCCATCCTTTCCTCCTCTTCTTCCTTTCTTGCACCATTACTGCCCATATACCTTATGTCAGGCACTGTACCAGGCATTAGAAATACATCAGTAAATGGGAACCAGGAGCATACATTTGAGGAAAAGAGACAGACAAAGAGACATGAAATGCAATGAGAAAATTTGGCTGGGAACAAGGTGTAACCAAGGTGATTGGATGTGGTGAGATGGGAGAACAGTATGAGGCCCAAGTTTAGTAGGGCAGGGCTAGCCCTTCATTCCTGGCACCAGGAGAGTATTATGACCACACTGACAATCTACATGCAAGCCAGATACTTCATACCAGGCTTAGCAGAGTGACAGGACAGGATATCTCCTGTGACAAGGCCTCAGGGGTCACTTCCTAAATGAGAGTCACCTTGCCTGAGGGAGTAGAGGCTGCAGATGGTGGGGAATGTTGCAGACAGCCCTCCAAAGGACCATGGAATTAAAATGCCTCTATAAACTGGCTTTTAAACTAAGCCTCAAGCTCCATGAGAACCAATTGCTTTGCTTCCTTCCTTCTGACACCACCCCAAGACCCCAGGCTCACATCCGCCTGGGTTAGTTTCACCATTAGACTTGCTTTAGCCTCATAAAGAATCAAAACTGACACACCTTCAGCATTCAGACTACAGCAGGGTCAGAAACCTAGGGCATTTCCTCCTCTTCCCAGCATTTATACATCCTCTGTCATCTATCCAGCAAATATTTACTGACGACCTATTCTCCTTCACACTTTGCTGAGGATAAAAATGACAAATAAAATTCTCTGCCTAAAGGGTTTTATAACCTGACAAGGACAACCAGGTGCAGGAACTTGAACTATACCTTTGGATACTTACATTTTCCACAATCATGTCTCTCCCTAAAATCTTTCTCAAGCTTCAGATTCATATCCAACTCCCTATGTGTCATTCTATTTGCAATTTAAAATTAATGTGTCCAAATAACATTTTCTTCCTTGAATGTAAAATATTACCCCCACCAGCACCGCCCCGCTTTCCTCTTCCCTAAACATAGCATCAGTAACCTTGCATTCAAACAAAGGAATCCAAGAGTTATCTTGGATTCTTCTTTTTCTCTTACCAACCCTTACATCTAATCCATCAATAAATCTTGTCCATTTTACCTCCAAATTATATCCTGAATCCATTCACCTCTTTTTAAGTCCATTTTCAGTACCCTGTTCCACTAACAGGCTACTGCTGGCCCACAGAATTTGAGAATATGCCTTTCCTGAGGCTTCTCCAAGCCTTTGCAGGACAAGCTCGGGCTGGATTTCAGGGCTGTGACTCTCAGACTGGGCTGGCTGTGTCCTGAGTAACCTGTAAGAACACAGCTGCATTATGTCAGCATCTTCTCACCTCTAGTACCAAAGATGCCTCCCGATGGGCCCTCCCCTTCCATTCTCCACACAGTATCTTTTAAAATCTTAAGCCCAGTTATGCCCCTTCCCTGCTTAAAACCTTTCAATTCTTCAGCTTGGTCTGTGAGACCCTATATTATCTGTTCCCAGTTGATCTTGATTTGTTGTATTTAACTCTGGCTGCCTTTCTCTTCCTTAAAAACATTCAGCACCCCACCATCACCACCACAGAAGTGTCTGTCTACCTTCTGTTCCTTCCTACTTTCCACCTCAGATCACATTACACAGAACTAAGTTTATCTTAGTACTTGATTCATCATATATTCTCACCATAAGTTCATGCACAGCCCGTTATACTTTGTTATTTTCTGGTTATTTTGAATAACAAGCACACCTGGCCCTAGTGAAGCCTCAACTCAGACCTTGCCAATGACTTCCTTCTAACTAATATATGTCCCCTGGGTCTCCTCATTAAGTGAACTGTATCACAAATCTCATGGTCATCATTCTCTTGCTTTTTTATTCATATAATGATATTGCATATCTATGTGTCTATATCTATATCTACATTCTTAAAGGGTTGAGGTTTTTTAGATTGTTTTACTATAACAAAAATTATCATGCTAAATTATGTAATTTAGACTCAAATTTCCCTTAATATCATATTACTAAGAACTACCTACATTGTTAATTAGCGTAATCATTTTGACTGCTGTATAATTTTCCTCTTTGTGGTAAAACTGCACTATTCTATCCACTCCCTGGTGATAGGTATCGCAGTTCCAGGTTTTCATTATTAGGAATAAGAATGTTATGCATATTTGTCTTCTGCTGAAAGTATGTGAGTTTCGCAAAGTAAAACCCAGAAGCAAGTTAAATAGTTGGATTACAGGTGCACAACAGATTAGACACAAGGCTCAACTGTTGTGAAGTCATTGTGCTAATTCACAGGCCCACTAGCAATGTCTGAAGATCCTTTGGCCCCACATGCTCTTCAACAACTTCATATTGTGGAACTTTTTCATTTCAAGCCAAGCTGATGGACATAAAAGGATATTTCAATGTAGCTTTGATTTGCATTTCCATGATTGCTCAAGGTCATTTCCATCACCTGTTATATTCCTAGACTCATCTGTATTTTTTCTCAGCTTTTCAAGGTTTCAGCCTGCATGTCTTACCACAAAGAGAACTTTTCTTCCACTGTCTCTGTGAAGATACCCCTTCTCTTTTATACTACTCTGTTTTCTTTATTGCATCATATCTATCACTGCCTAAAATCGAACAGGCTGTTTATTGGGAGGTGATCTGTTTCCTGCAACTAGAACAAGAGGATGTTAGCTACTTTGTTCACAGTGGCATTTCTAACTTCTCTAACAGGGCCTGGGACAGAGTGAGTAGATGAATACGTGAGTGACAGATATGCACTGTATTCAGAGCCATGTTCTGGAGTCAGATGCTCTGAGTTTCAATCTCAGCTCCCATTTACTACAACCACAAACAAATTGTTTAAATCACCCATTCCTGAGTTGCCATATAAAAAAAGAGATAATAGTAGTTCTCACTTCATAGGGATACACAAAAGGCTTGGTATTTAAGTTAATATCTGTAATGTTCTTACAGTAATACATAGCAAGTGCTCAACAAATGTAGGTTGTTACCATTAAGGTGGGATTTTTTTCATTGCTGCTGCACGTCCCCAAACCAGCCCCAACCTAAAGAGCTCCCTCCTTCCCCCCAGGTCTGCTTCTTCCTGCTTTTGCAGTTACTTATCCCTGTAGCCAAGAAAAGGAAGTAAAAAAGCATTCAGGGGGAAAGTTCTTGGGGCAATTCATTTTCAAGAAGGTCTGATCACTCCAAATCTGAAGAAGCTGGACAGCAGCATAGTGGGTGCTCCACAATGTGAGCCACCCATGCACTGTACAACCCCAACATTGCATTCCCCACGAGTAACAACTCTGTCTCCTCTCTCCTTTTATCTTCGTCATGTTTTCAACAAGAGGAAAGGGAAGTTAGAACTGGAGATGGCAAGAAATAAAAGAGCAGATGAGGTAAGAGGAGTAGAGAAATCAAGCAAGGGAGAAAGGAGGGAAGATGGAAGAGATGGATGGGAAGATTCGAAACTTCAGGTCACACCGTGGCATTGACCTCCAGGGTAGAACATTAAAATGCTGAAAATAAGAGCAGCATAAAAGCATCCCACGCACCCAGGGGATTTTTCTTTTTAAGGACTGAGTGAAGAAAGAGGCAAGAAAGAGCAGAGAGAGATTCCACGGGGCACCAGAGGCCTGGTGTGGGGGGCTAAGTAGTGGAAGCCCAAACCTAACTTAACGTGTCGCCTGGGACATCTGTGGCCCCCGTGGATGTTATCTTTGTCGCGAGCTTACCTTGTTCTGCACCCAGGAACTCCGATCCGTTGGAAGCTTTCCTCGCCCCAAAGTGATAAATACGGCCTGGGTAAGCTGCGCCAAGGGGCAAAGCCAAGTGCAATTCCACCCAGAATTCTGGCAGATTCACTGATAGAAATTGTTTCCATTTGAGAAGGATCAGGAGTCCTCGCCAGGACCAGCTGTCTCTCGGGTGTCGGATTCCGTGACTGCCCGCAGCCTGGAGAGCGCCACCCCCCTTCTCCCCGTCCGGGGCGCGGAGAGCCGGGAGCACCCGGGTGCTGCGCCGGGACAAGCGGAGCCGCTGCCCCCTCGCGGCCAGTCCGAGCCTGCCCTCGGGGACCCGCTCCCACCTGCCTGTGCTGCTTCCGCGCCGAGCTAGAGACGGAACCCAGTCTCGGGAACTCCCGCGGGGACTGGGGACTCCCTCCTCCTCGCTCCGGGCTGGCAGGCGAGCCAGGTATGGGGGGAGAGGGGGGCAAAGCTGAGGGTATTGCTGGTATTGCCGACCTTGAGGCTCCGGAGGGCTGTGCATGCGCCAAAAATAAAACGCGCGCGCGCACACACCCGAACACGCACACACACACACGCACACAACGTTTCCACTCAGTAGTTTCCTCCCGATGCATGTAACTGTCCTTAACAGCACAAAGCAGAGGTGAAGAAACCCTGTGCTGAAAAATGCAAGTCAACAATGCCCAGCACCAAATTTGGGGATGATTTTAATTTAAAGGCTTGGATTTAAGCCTCTGAAAACTGATACAGAACAAAATACTATCGGAAGTATTAAATACCATCCGTGTGCGTGTGTGTGTGAAGGTCGAAATTTCAGGCTCTCTACCCAGAGCTTCCAGGAAATGGAGGGAGAAAGCACAGACCGCATCGGGCCAGCTCCGGATAAGCCCCGTCTCCCCTCCGGGCGCGCAGGGGTTAAGGGAGCCCGCCCTGGCTTCCCCGGCCGGGCACGCGCGAGGCGGAGGGGAGGGAGTGCGGACGCGGGGGAGACCCGGGATCTCCGCAGCTCCGCCTGCAGGGCGCTCCCTCCCAGCTCTATTTATAGCTGTGCTTCCAGCTGCGGCTGGGAACTCACCAGCCGCGTGAGCATTTGGGGCTCTGAGAGCCTTCCCGAGTCAAGGGATTTTCATAAATTCTGTGAATGGAAGAAACGTCTCTAGCCTTCTGGATTTTGATTGCCACTGTTGTCTGCCTTTCCTATATTCCATTTACATGCACACACACACACTGGGAGCTAGGGGATTTTTGAGGCAAGAAGTGAGGCAGGTTGTTATGCTGGAGAGCCCTTTGCAGAGGGGGTAGGGGTGGAGGAGGGAGGGAAAGTAGGAGAAAGGGAGAGAGACAGAGACAGAGGCAGAGACAGAGAGAGAACACAGCAGGAGCGGGGGGGGGGTGTTCTTACTGGCTTCAGGCTCATTTCTTATTTTCTGCAACACTCAACCAGTCTGCAGGTTTACCTGTGGATTACGAGGCCAAAAATAGGTATGGAGCAAATTTAAGAGCAATGAAAAATCACATCTTCTGCCCTCTGTGTGCTTACCACAGGTCCAGAGCTGTTTGCACAGCTGCCATAGGAACCCCGAAGACAATGTCCTAGACAAGGCACCACAGGAGTTCCCAGCCCCAGTGGATCCTGATGACAGGAAGGGGTGGGGGTGGGCGGTGGTCTAAAACTTTGAGTCCTATATACAGCATAAAATGGAGCACATTGCACCAGTCTAGAAGGTTCTAAACTGATACCTTGCTCCAAAGTCCCTTCCTGAAGTTACTCCTTTCTGAGCCAGTACTGAGTGTATTGGAAGCTAAGGGCATCTGCACTTAAAGAACACAGCTGAGCTGCTGCTGTCTGGCAGGTGTGGGGAGAAGGCACGAGACCAAAAGGGCCTCCCAGAGAAGCCCACAGTAGTGGCCTGAGCCACCCACCTCTGCCCCTCTTTCCCTTGCCTCTACCTTACAGTCTCTGGAGTTTTGTTTTGTTTTGTGGGCGGGGGGGTGAGAGGTTATTCTTTATTAAACAGTATTCAAACAGAATGATCCTAGAATGCAACTTCTAACTAATTTGGCTTTCTAGTTACCTATGGGCAAGATAGAAGCCTTTTGGCTTAGCTCCTTGTTGCAGCATTTTTCCCCTTATATTCACTTCCCTGTCCTAGTACAGAGAGCAGAGCCGTGGATGCTGTTTCTAGGATGACTCAGGCTCCACAGGTGCATCAGGGAGAGGCCAGAGAGAGCCGCTGAGGTCCTCCTGTTTATATGATCTCAGTATACTTTATTATCCATGTTGCAGTTCTTTATCGGGCCAGTGTGAATAATAGTAATTATAGATACTTCACGGAGTTCTCTTAAAATTAAATGTGGATGTGAACATCTACCTGACTTGTTTAGACTTGTGCCTTCCCTGTGGTAAAACTCAATAAATATTAAATATCATCACTGCACAAATATGAGTTGTACTTGATTTGGATGAATTTGTACAAAGGGGTATTAAATAAAATCTGTTTTACCTATGTACGTTCACACTATAAAAATCAATTTCCTTTTCACTGTACTGAAGCAGATTCCCCCAATCATTCTTTATATAAGGCAGGCCTCTGGTCATTACTCTGCATTCTTCTCTTCTCTTCTTCCAGGAAAAGAAAGCAATTCCTCGAAAGCCATTTTGAAAGTCCTGCTGTTGGGCCAGTATTTAGCTCAGTGGTGCCACCGCCTGCCTTGCAAGTGCAAGGTTCTGAGTTCAATCCCTGGTACCAAAAAAAAAAAAGTCCTGCTGTTAATCCATATGAAACACCCAGAGTAAAGAATCTTCCACTAACAGTGCTTCAGTATTGTCCTGAGGATAACACTTTGATACATGAAAATTTCTTTAATCATAAAAATACTCCATGAAGTTTTTCAAGGGACTATGAAGGGGAAGTACTTGTATGTAGCTCAAGACTCAACGCTCAGTATAGATTTGGATAGTATCTTATTTCCTCTCATAAAAAACTGAGCTCTAGACAATAAGAACGGGAGCCTATGACAGCTCTAGCAGAGAGGGTTGGTTCTCTATTCCAATTTCTGTTCTCCTCCACCATACAAGACAATCTCTGACTTTTAGTTTTGAAGCCAGGTGTGATTATGTGTCAAAGTTCTGAATACCTGGCGTGGAAGCTTTGTACTGTCACCCTAGCTGTGATGATTAGTCACGATTGTTGGCTTGATTGGATTGAGAATGCCTAGGAAATGATTGAAGCACACTTCTGGATATGTGATGGTATCTCTGGAAATAATTGGCACGTGGGTCAGTAAACTGATGGGGGAGACCCACCCTGGATGTGGGTGGCACCATTCAATAGGCTGGAGCCCCAGATGGAGTGAAAGCCCAAGGAGGAAGCATCCTCCCTTCTCTCTTTCCCAGCTGCCATGACCTTCTGCCTCACTTCAGGCCCACAGCAATGGAACCAGCTGACCACGTACTGAAACTTCTGAAACCATGATTTAAAATAAACCTTTTCTTTTAAAAATTGTTTTTCTCATGTATTTTGTCACAATGATGGAAAGCTTTCTAATATATTTGCTAAATTGGAATAGTGTTTCCCCAGATTACCTTCCCCATATGGTTCTGAACTAGCATGGGCCACAAGAGAAACATATTCAACTTTGGATGGTAGGAGTAAACCAGTAGCCACATTTACACTAAGAAGGTCAGAGTAGAGTCAGGTGTTACAGGTCACAAACCTTTCACAGACCTGCTGGCTCAACTTGGTGGTAGGGGAGAGTAGCTTGCCATTGGTAGCTCCTGGAATCTCCTCCTTCAGCCTTTCCAATCTTAGCCAAGATACATGTTAGCTCCATGATGAAGGGTACCATCTTTTCTAGGTCATCAGCATCACTGAAGTTGCAGACAGCTGAGGATTGATTCAGAGTCTACTTTGTCCTCCGAAGGTCCAGGGTGTCCTTGTTCTCTCTCACACTGTGTCTGTATAAGTTAGGGCTTCCCTGGAGGTGGGCATACATATGAATTGGTGTTTTGGGCTGGCTAGGCAAGTATGAAATCTGTAGGGCAGGCTGTCAGGAAGGACAGGCTGGACTCTCAGCATGAGCAGAACTGCTGTTCACAAGTAGAATTTCTTCTGGAAGTTTCACTTCCACTTTTAAGATCTTTCAAATTGAAACCCTGATTGAATCAGGGTTACACAGATTTTCTAGAATAATCTTCATTACTTAAAGTCAATAGATTATAGACATCTACAAAGTACCTTCACACCTTCCAGATTAGTGTTTGACTGAATACCTGGGGACTATGATATAACCATTCTGGTTCATAAAACTGACCATGAAAATGGTCTTTTCTTCCCAACTGCCTGCCCTTTTGTGCCTAGAACCATATGCAGAACCAAAAACAGCAGTGTAACTAGTGCCCCACCATTGGGGAATGTTAAACATAAGTCCCTCATTCAATTTCCCTCCCAGCTCATCTATTTTTACAATCACACACTCACTCACTAACACCGACAGAGTATCACACACACCTTCCCCTTTCTCCCCTTTACACTACCCTGCTGTCTAGACTAAATATATGATGGCTAGAAGAGCCAACGTGGACATATGAACAATGTCACACTCCAATGACCCAGGAAAGAGAGCTGCAAGGGGCTGTGACATGAAGATTGCAAAGCTGATATTCCACTCCAGAGCAGAAGAGTCACTGTCTTTTGTAAGTCACGGTTATGTTGTTACTTACTGTTGCTTGTGCCTAATCCATTTCTGACTGATGTAAGTATTATGCTGCAAACATATAAATAAACATTGATCAGAAGAATCAAGAATAAGAACATTTTGCATTAGTGCAGGGGGAAAAGTCATTGAATTATTTTACTTCTTTCACTTAATTTTCAAAAGAAATCTATTATAGGCAATCACATATTTGCCAAAGGTGGTGACTCACTTTAAAACCATAAGCCAAGTTCTTTTAATTTGGGAGTTCTCAATTGTCACACTTATAAAATGAGAAGCTTGGACCAGATGGCTTCCAGCTTACTTACTTGTATATTGATTGCATTTAAGGAGCCCCAGATAGAAGCAAAAGTCCTGTTACAGAGAGCTTTCAGCCAGAAAAAATGACTCAGAAGTAAGAGGATCATGTGTAGCTCTT